TAAGTGACATGTTAAAAAAGTCTTATAATTTATTTAAAATAAATGTTTTAAATAATGTTGAAGTATATTTCCTACTAATTGAATCTTATTTTGCACTGAAGAGTTTTTGTTTTACTTTTAATCATTTTTTACCCTATAAACTTTCTTTAAATCAAAGTATTTATCTTGCATTTATTTTATTAACTAGAATATTTATTTTTTTTAAATGTAATTCTATGAACATTAAAATTTTTTAATGTTAAAATTTATGTTTCAATGGACTTTATTAAGTAATGTGATAAAAAATAACCATGAAATATCCCATTGTTTTTATTTATTTCAATTTATCTGAATTTTTTTTCCTGATAAATTGATTCTGATTCTGTTTATTCCTCTTTAAATAATCAGTTTTGGAGTTTTTTATTTTAAACATTTGAAAGTATATAATTTTATGCAAACATATTACAAGGTAGGCTGATAAAAAGAATTTAGTGCCTAGAACTATGTTTATATAACAATTACTATAATTCCTAACAACATGTCTGTCTAAATTCTTTGGCATGCAGCTCTTCATTGGTCAATCATCTGTGCATGTGGCCCTTCACTCAAAAAGGTTCTGCACTCCTACTCTACATCATAAGAAAAAGTGTCTATTAAAATAAATTAACTTATTAAATTGGTAATTATATCAAATAGTATTAAAAATAATTACTTAACATCTATAACTTGATTTTGCTTTAACATTTTAATCAAAATTCTTAGCGATTTTAGATTGAATAAATACAATTCGGGAATAAATACAATTCGATTTTAAGAATACTTCAATTTTCTTATCAACTTATTGTAAAAATTCCTGTATTTTCTTGTCCACATTTTCTGAAGAAAAAAAAAAGATCAGGATATTTGCTGCTGATTTCACTTCCAAAATAGAAAATGCTGAAATTTCACATTCCTCAGCTTTCTTCCCTTGTTTAACTTCTGATACTATGTCATCAGTAAACTGACCACAAATGCACAATTTATTATCGCAGGATTTAAAGTGCACTGTAACAAAGAAAATATTAAAGCTGAGCATCTTGTTTGCCTTAGTTTGGTTAAAGAATGAGTGTGAAATCGAAATTTGGCGCAATGTTAAGAGATTGCTATCACAACTCACGCAAGTTTAAAGCTAGAGAACTGAAAAAATTCCCGGAAAACTATTCCACTCTTAGCGAGTTACCAATTTTTCAACTGTCACTATAAACTTATGAAATATTATTTGTTAAATGAGTTTGGAAGGGATCTCTAGGTTCATTGTAAGAAGGGGTTTTAACTAAACAATATGTCACAAATCAAATACTATAAAGCAATCCAACAATTAAAATCGTTTAAACTAGTTTTACTGTTTATCCTTTGTTTGCAATAGTAATAAAAAATAGTTAAGTATTATTTAGCTCTCTATTAAAAGTTGAGACGTTTTGGCAATATTTTTAGTCTGATATTTCTCTTTTGTTATACAGTTGTTTTTAATCAAAATTATATGAATCCAGTTAAGCCATCATTGCTAAATATTAAGTAATGATAAATCTGCCATAAATATAATAACCTACTGCATAAGTTTTAAATCATACCAACAAAATTTAAATTTGTTCAAAATTAAAACGTGAGTTTACACAACTTAGTTGAAGGCAGAATTTTTTAGATATTTTCAGCATAGCTGCCAACTCTACTGGATTTTGCCAGTTTCTCCTGGTCTACTTATTTAATTAAAATTCCCCTGGTTTTTGTACATTTTAGGAAATTCCCTAAAATTTAGTTAGTTTCCTAAAAAAATCCTTTTTTAAATAAAATTTTTGTACAGATTATTGCTTGCTTGCTAGAATATTTAAATAAGCATGACAGGCTGACCACCCACCTGGAATTATCAGGGAATTTTTTTATACTGGAAAAAACCTGGAAAAGTCAGGGAAATTTTGTCAAAAACCTGGAAAAATCAGGGAATTTCAAGGAATACCTGGAATTTTTCTCTTAATTTCAATAATTTTACCATCTGTTATATCCACTTTTATTTAGACGTAACTTTATCGTAAAAAAGTTGAAATATTATCAACTCGGCAAACTTTTCTTGCATTTCTGACACTTAAGTAAAATATTTCAAATTAATTATGTATCATGTTTCACTAACAATTGCATAGAATTTTTTATTCAAGTGTCAGATTCAAAATTCAGTCTAGTTTACATTTAAATTACAAACAAATTCACAGAGTTTCGACAATTTGTAAATTCGTGATAATTTTTTGCTTTCGTGCAATTTACATCCGACAACAACAATTTAATCCATTTAATTTGAACTTATAATAATCAGTTTTTATAAAACAAATTGTTTTTCATTAGGTTATGATTAGGACTGGGCTATAAATCGCGACATATCGATTTAACGCCTGCATCGGCAGGCCAGTACAGCGACTTTCATTCCAGGCGATGCATCAGAAATCTGATTTAAGCCGCCGAGTAAAGAAGATGAACAATATTACAATATGCGATTCAAGACACGCAAGGATCTCTTACGTTCCGATGCCAACTCGCGCTGGGGAAGACGATGTACGTATAGTTATATTGAAACGGCCTTGATTGATGAACAGTAGAATCAGAATCAGTTTTGAGAACATATATCGTGGTCTTGCATGTTCGTTTCCGCACCTCTTAGGTTTTTTTTTCTACTTTGTCGCGACTTGATATCGTTTCTTGTAGATTATTTTCAGTGGGACTGACTTTGTGATCATTACCTTGTTCTGAACGTAATCTATTATTGAAAAGAATATATCAAGAAGTGTTTCTTAATTAATTAGGTAAATTTTTCTTAGAAACAAAACTTTCTTTTTTATTTTTAAATGTGAAAATTAATTTTGATATTATATGTTTAAGTATTATTTTACATTATTGAATTTATTACAAACGGAAATCTAATTTAAGGTGCCCATAAAAAATTTAATTAAAAAGTTATTAAATTTGTTAGGCTATTTTTTACTTTATTTTAATTTATTAAAAACTTTTTGGATAAAATAATAATTTAATAGGTTTTTATTGCTGAGTTTAAATTTATGAATCTTTAGTTTTCATTTTTATAAATAAAATTATAACAAAACTTATTTTACCTCTTTTGGATTTGGACATAAGTCAATCAACTTTGTTTATTCAAAAAAATTAGTAATGTTTGCGATTGCGACTTCTTTTTATAAAATCATTTAGCACTTCGTTTTATTAAAGAGTATAATCGTGTTTTTTAATTTTCTTTCAATATTGTCAGTTAAATATATTATCGAATATCATAATTCTTTTGTTTTTATTTTTAAGAAATTAAACCTTACTTTGTTTTTTCGTTCAGAATTCGGTAATTATTCAATTTAACTTTATTATTTATGTGAAATAATAATGATAAAAAATAGTGTTGTTTTAAAAGTGTTTTTTTTTTGTTAAATTTATTTAGCACTTTGTTTTAAGCATACAAATAATTTTTAACAAACTTATTTTTTAAATCTTCTTTCTGTATTGTTTGGTAAATATTGATAAATTTCAATTTTATTTATTTTTTTATTATTTATTTTTAAACTAAGAAATATTTCGTTATTTGCGCGATCATTTTTAGAAAATATAACATAAATATCTTTCTTAAGCAAGACATATACATCAAATTCATAAATTGATTTTAATCAACCTGAGTATGAAGTTTTGATAGAAATCCGACTTTCTGCGCCTTACAAGTAAATGAATTTCAAAAATACTATATCGCGATGCAAAACTGACGATGCATTACGATATAAAATTTCTTATATCACCCAGTCCTAGTTATGATATACTAAATATTTAATGTAAGAGTGTGATGATAGTAAACTTTTGTTTTATAAGATAGTTTTTCTAAGAAATTAATGTTCATTTTTTTCCGTTATCATGAAATTGCCGAGATGTAAAAACAAAAACAATTAACTCATCTAAGCTAGGAAATCATTTTAGGTTGAAATTCTTAATATATTCTAATTTCTAATAAGAAAAAGAAGAATAAAATTTAGAGAATTTTATTTAGTTTTTTTTCTGTATAGAATATGCAACAAGAAATTTGACAATTTTTCCTTTATGAATGTCTCTTAAAATAATAGTGCTAATTTGACACAAGCAACATTATTTAAACATGTGACATTTCAATGAATTTTATAAATAGCAATGTTTGGATAAAATACAGTATAAAATGGCTCTATATTGAAATGTAAATAAATATAAAAATTTATTTGTTACTAATCACCTGGAATTATTTTCTTTTGCTTATATAAATATATTAAACAGTACTTATCCAAGGTTGTTTTGGGTCATTGCTATTTGTTACATTTTGTGCAAAAACTATTTAACTCTTAAAAAAATTTTATTCATTGACAGCATTATTTTCTACAAGCTAAACATATTGTTTCCTCCACATCTATTCAAAATGATATATTAAAAAAGTAACAGTTTAAATGAAATACTACACTGTTGACTAATACACTAATATTGACACTTTTCTTGTACCTATACTACATTTTAGCAGAGAGAAAAGCATGCTGACCTAGAAATTTTCAGATTTTTATTGGAAAACTTGGAAAAATCAGGGAAATTTGATACCTGATTTGAGTGGCCACCCTGCATGACTAATGCTTAATTAAGCAAACCTCATTTATAGAAATCAGTTCAAGAAGTTTTAGTTTATTTTTATTCCAAACTCTCTTTTTAAATAGTTAAAAAATATTTTAACTATCTTTGAATTAAATGCTTATTTTATTAATATTTGAAATTATGAGTAAACATGATATAGTATAACTTTTTAAATATGTTTAATGTCAATCATAACTGGAAAATATTGCAGTTTTTCTATTTTGATCACTATAAAATTCCCTATGTTTTAAAATATTTAGTACATTATGCCACAATTATTATAAAATTTATATTTTGTAAGATCTACTGGATTTTTTCCTATCTATGTTGACAGCTATACTTAAGAAATTATCTCTTTGCAGGTTTAGAACGCCTAGCTGAAGAGTTGATGGGAGCACGAAAATGGAAAATTCTTGTTCAACCTTTTTCAGGTAATATCTTATCACAACTATTTGTGATTTTACTGATAAGTCTGACCACATTTCAATATTTTAAGTAACTTTCACAGTTTATTTTTAAAATTAGTATCACCTAGTTTTTGCTGAGTAAAGTTACAACAGTTTTTGATTGTATAGTTTATAAAATTATAGAAATAAGTCATGCAGGCTGCATATTTATACTTTGTATGTATGTTACCTGTTGACTTAAAGAAAATAATTGCTGGTGGTCTGAATGTGTGTTTGCTATTAAGCTAGATTGGCTAGGAAATATTGTGATTCTTGTATAAATATCAAAATGTTCTTAAATGGGATCTATTTGAACTAAGGATTTGATAAGTATTACAATTTTATTTTTTATGCAAATAGGCAAAAATGCATAATCTTTATCAATATATGCTCTATTGATCTATAATACTATGGAATCAGAATGCAGTTTCCTCTTGATATTGTGAATCAAAGGAGAATAATTCTTATCTACACTATTCATTCGATATTTTAATTAGGCAAAAATGTCATCAATTCAAGGTAGGTTTTCTCTTCTGATGGACTTTGTGGCCAAATGTGTATCATTTGAAGATGACAAAACAAACAATTATTTCACTTATCTGCAAAAGCTTAAAAAAAACCTTTTCTTTCTGGAAAATCACTCAAACAGGTTAATGAATTAATGATTTCAGTAAAAAAGGCTGTCTGCTATTCTCCCATATTTCTTTTTTAGCCATGTATTGTGGGTGGAAACCTTGTATTGTGTCTCTAAGTGAAAGTTTACCATTTAGAGAGTGGGCAAGTTTGTTTTGATAGCATTTTTTTCATTTGGCTATTGTCTTAAATTGCAGATTAACCAAATTGTTAAATGTAAATCAAAAGTCAGTGAGAACAAACACTGCATAAATTTTACAAAAATTTTCTAGGAGTTGATTTTTTATAGACTTGTTCTAACATTAATTTTGAGTCACTGTAATTCATTTCATGCAACTGTATCAAGCCTACGATCTACATCCCTTATCAATTTAAGTTCAGGAGTATTTTTCCATTAACAAATCCTTTCACATGGTTGAAATTTAGGATCTATATTTTTTTTTNTTTTTTTGGGGGGGGGGGGGGAAACTTATGTATTGCATAACTTTCAATAAGGGTTATTCCACCAATTACTTTTTTTTTTAATTTTATTTTTTTATATTGGATAAGTAGCAAAAGATCCAAATATGAGACTTCCATCTTGGTAAAAGAATGTCAATTAGGCTAATTACCCTGATAATTACAGAATGTCAAAAGCTTCTAAAGAACTTGTCTTGTGAGTGAGGAAGTCAGGAATTAGCTTTTTACATATACAGATCTGTAAATAATGCTTTAGAAACTTAATATTTTTAATGAGAAAAAGTTTCATAATTTTTATATTTTATGTGTCACTATGTATAAAGAAATTTTCTGAAATCATTTTTATAAATACATAGATCTAGAAACTGAATGTCCCTGTGATTGGTTTCCTGAAGACACCTGCTATTTTTGTTGTGCCAAGAAACAACCACCTTATGTAAGTGTGCCTATAATGTTTACATTATACTGTTTGTTATTTATATTTGTATGTTTTAATATCTCCACAAAGAAAAAAAAGTGGAAGTGTAAAAATATTCTGTTAATTAGTCTTTCTTTTTTTAGTGAATTTTTTTAAGAATGGAATAATTAAATCGAAAAATTGTGATTGTTCCATAAGCCAAATTTTGTTTTAAAAAATATATGAAGTTGATTACTAGTTAATTGGTTTTATTTCTATCAATGTTTTGGAAGTATCTAATATCTTTTAAATGTTATGTTTGCTTGCAAGCAGACATAAAGGTAGTTTGAATGAACTCTGTACAAGAATGTGTCCAGATTTTTTTTCTATACGTGTGAAATATATAAGAACAATTCAATCAACTAACCAGAATGTTCAGGAAACAGCAAATTTTTGATATTTGAGCTTTGAAAATCTTAATTTTTTATATTACTTCATTTCCATTGGAGGGGGGGGGGAATGCTGTATCTTAAAAATTATCAAATGTGTCCAGAATAATGACGAAAAAAAGAGATAATTAAACATTAATAGTCTTTTATCAAAATTATTAATGCTAAGTGAAATGGTTAACAGGTATAAGAAAAAAATGCAGGAAAGGAACATAAATTGTTGTATTTAAATTACATCACTTTTTATTATTTAACACCAAAATTCTCAGTGTTCAGTGTTTACTGGGAAAAGTGCTGGATCATAATAAATAGGCCAATAAAAAAAGCAAAAGTTTATTTAATAAAAGGGAAGAAAGCTGAAGTTTTGAAATTAAATATCAGAATCGCTGAACATCGCAAAATACTAAAGATCGATAAATGAGAATGAAAGACTTATAGCTGTGCAAAAAACAAACCAGAAACCAAAAAAAAATTCAAAATTGCTCTTCTTAAAACGAAACCTAGAAGATGAAAATCTCATGTTTCCATTCTCGTTCTCGTGTTCCAGCGTAATTTAAGGAAAAAGTTACTCTTTTCAAATGCAGCTCCATAGTTAAAACAATAGTTTACAAAAAATAATAAACAGTTCTTAATTCTCAAAGCAAAATTCTAATGTTGCAGAACTCGAATTTTCATATTGTCACATTTTAAGAAAAATCAGGGTTCCCACGGTCCTTGAGAGTCCTTGAAAGTCCTTGAATTTTTTTTGTGCTAAATTTAGGTCCTTGAAAGTGCTTGAAAAACGTCTTAGGTCCTTGAAAAACTTGATAGGTCCTTGAATTTGTCCAATACTGCCGGCGGCCCTTTTTATAAAACACCTGCGGATCTTTCTCGTTCTTTCTGTTTTGTTCCCGAGCTCTCTCACGTGGTTTTTAGCGCCACCGTTTCTAACCGGGCCTAGCGTCTTGGTGTCGGCCAAGCGCGCAGAGCACAGCAGACAATCAATGTGTTCGGGGCGAGCCTCCACTTCATCTTCTGTCGCATATGCTTATATCTTCTTTTTTCTTATCGAAACTGGAGTACTCTCGAATTTCGTAACAATATGTACCTTGTAGTTTTCAATAAATTTGCCGTTTTACCATCCGCACTTGTCCTTACGTTTGCGTCATTTCAAAACTTTATTGTAAAGCGTATTCGCAAAGGCACGGCTTCGTATTTGTGTTATGTAGTTTAGACTAGTTATGCCTGGGAAGTGCTATTTTAATCCCCAATGGATGGATAATCNGTAGCTGATGTTACATGCCTCTACGATTTTCTAGCAAAACTATTGCTTCTAGAAGAGAGATGTTGCATTCTGAGTCCGTGTTGTTTTTATCACAGTTATCTAAAATACGCGTAACTAATTGTCTCCTATAGTGATACTTCAGAAAGCGAATAACATCCTGGTCCATGAGTTGCAACACAGAAGTCGTATTTGGTGGTAAAAATACGAGCTTTATACACTCTGACTTTTTAAATGGGGGTGAGCTGTGCAATTTTACGATTTACTTTTAATAAATCACTGTCCCACTGTCAAAGTTCTTTTTCAAAAAAATGGGAGGTCATCCATGCTTTTTGATTAGCTTTGTAGTTTACAGGCAGTTTTTTAACATTTTTAAAGCACCTTGGTTTTTGAGATTTGCCTATGACAGTTAGTTTTCGCTTTTCTGAGCCATTCATGTTAGCACAAACAAGAACTGTTATTCTCACTTTGGAGGATTTCCCATTAGTGGATTTTTCTCCTTTAAATTTTAACGTCTGATTGGGAATCAATTTGTAAAATAGTCCAGCTTCATCAGGATTAAAAATGTCTTTCTCTTCATGATTCTGTATAATACTCGGCCACACTTCAGTTTTCCACATTCGTTGCATCAACACTCGCTTCTTTTCCAATAATCTTTCCTTAAGAAATATTATTCCGTTTTTTTGAATCTATGCAGCCATCCATTGGAGCACACAAAATCCCTTTCCTCTAATTAATTTTTCAGCAAACTCATTTGCTTTAATTTGAAGCATAGGTCCGGTCACAGGAAGATTTCTATCCCTATGAGTGGCAACCCATTTTAACAAAGCTTCTTCTGCGTTTTCTCTCAGCTCCACACAGTTTTTTCCATGAAACCATATTTTTGTCGTGTGCGGCAAGAATTGCACTTCAATTTTTCCAAATGTTTGAAACTGTAGATTTTGACAACGCAAATTCCTTACACAGTGTCAATTGATTGGTTCCATCTTCAATACACTTTACAATTTTAATTTTTATCTCTACTCTTCTTTTAAAGTTATACAGATAATTAGATAACCAGTAAAATAGAAAATTGATTTTCTACGTTGCAAGTTTTGTTTTAAGAATTGAGGAAAATTTTCTGTCCCTCTTTTGCTCTTTTGATTAATTGTGTTTTTTTTTGTTGTTCATAGCATATTTTAAAGAGCCTTCTTTTTCATCATTCGATAAATCCGGCGATGGGAAACACTTAAAGTGTAATTTTCAACGTTAAGTTTTTCTTATAAAAATTGAGAACAATTTTTTGTTTTATTTCTGTTTGGCTTTCCCATTTTTTTTTGTTATGATGTGGCAATTTTAATGAGTACTACTCTTAGACATTTTTAAATCGATGTATCGCAAATTATTGACTTAACACAAATATCAGCAGGCCGATATAATTACTTTCATTTTAAGCGATGCATTAGGAATCTGATTTACTGAGTTAAAGAAAAGCTATTCCATTTTTTAAATCTACTATTATTAATCTATGATGTTTTATTTGATGATGAATAATCATTATGCCATTTTTAAGATCCTTAATTTCTTGAAGAAAAGTCCTTAATTTTTTTGGTAAAAGTCCTTAAAAGTGCTTAATTTTTGCTTTGATAAAAGAGTGGGAACCCTGTTTAAGTACAATGTGAATCATAAATGGAAAATATTGAGGACCATTTCTAATGTTTAAGGTAATAAAATTTTTCTATTTTTATTACAATAAAATTCCCCATATTTAAAATATTTCGTATATCATGCAACACTTATCAGGAAATTTGTATTTCGTAAAATCTACTGGATTTTTTCCTCTTCATGTTGGTAGCTATGCTGGTGAAAGTAAAAAAAAAATAATTTTCTTCTGAAATTGAGTGGGAACCCTGGGCAGAGATTATTACAGTAAAAATTAAGCTGGATCTAATATATATCTAGAACAGTTTGCAGATATTGAATATAATAAAGTTATACACAAAAACTTCGTTTAAATTTAATTTTATGCATTCATACTTTAGCTTTGCTCAAAAGAAAAAACATGCTTACTCTAAACCAAATTAAGAAATAAAGAATTTGCAGATCATAATATTAAAATAAAATCTTTTCATTTTAAAGGAAGTTAATGAAAATTATTGTAATTTACGGTGCTCTGATTTGTCCCATTTGAAAGTTTCTTCTAGTGAAATTCATTACTGTATCTCCACAGTTCCTTTGCAGACAAATAAAATGATAACCGGAAATATGAACAATCCTTTTTTTTTTGTATCAGATTTTTAATATAAGGAACTCTATGTCTTATTTTTCATAAAAAAAGGGGAAAATCGTTTCTTTTCATTTTGTCCTTAAATTTTTGAATTGTTCTTGATTTCTGCTAGCACTTTCTTTCCAATTATTTTTAAAATAAATATATATATCTGAGGTCAAAAATAATCTGCAGAGACTATGATATTCTTCACTGTCCATTGTTATACCAAAGGGTTTCTGCTACCTAGCTTTTAATGATATTTTGCACTGAAACATTTTAATTCTCTGTGTTAAGAAAAATGTTATTTTTATAGGATCCTGCCAGTGGTATTATTCCTACTGTGGAAAACTACAATGCATTAAGATTAGATACAGACGAACATTCAGCATCGTCTGATCAGGGTAATTTATCAGGTAAATGTGAGAACTTTGTTTTCTACTCTAACAATAATGTAATTAGTAATGTAAATCTATAGGTCTTAACTTCTTGGCTTTATAGGCCCCATTATGATAACAATCAATTTGTTGACTAAAAATTAAAACTTATTCTTTCAGATTGGTTACAAGCATATCGAAGATTAAATATTAATTGAATATTCAAATTAATTGATAAATGCAATCATAAAATTATTCAACCAATTACATTTTGTTCAATGTTCACGATAATTTTCGATAAAACTGATATGAATCCTTAACAGCCTACTTGGAATTTTAAATTGATATTTTTAAAACAAATGGAATTTATGACTGCTACAAGATACTAGTTTTAACTTATTGGCATATTAAAAAACTGATCACTAATTCTGTATTTTAAGAAATATTGCTTATTTTTTTACATTATGAAATTATAAATAAAATAGATATATTAGATAAAACATTACCATAATTACATGACATAACATTAACGTATCAGTTTTAAGCAGTTATTTATGTTACTAGGTGTAAATTTTCCATAAAAATTTTTTAAAAAACTAATAACCTTTTTTTTTTAAACTGAAATTAAGATATGCCTATTAAAACCAATGTAGCTTTTTGGATGAGGCTCATAAAATTTTGAAATTCATCATCGTAAAAGCCAAGCTGGAATTTTCGTACTGTTGGTTGAAAGATATGGCATTAAATATTGCTTTTAATTTTCACAACTGAAAATATGACCTAAAATTTTTTTTGCATTTAATTCATAATTATTTTTATTGTTAAATTTGTTTGTATTGACTGTTTTTTGATTGTTTTGTAAGCGGGCTGTAAAATTGCAAGACTCTGCTCAAATGTCTAATTCCATGACTGTTCTGAATATAGTATTAAATTTTTTTCCCTCTTAATGCATTTATTTATAAGTGAAGTAGTGAAATACTTAATTTTTGGAAACTAATTCACTAGTGTATTTTTATCAAAAATTGAAAAGCTATTAAAAAGTCTGATAATTATGAAATATTTCCTATAACAACACAAAATGAGTATGATAGCTATAATTTTTTAAAAGTATCAATATTTAAATTTTTAAGATCTTTGATCCTAAATCTTCCTCCATAGGGCCTTTTAAGGGCAGTGCCTAAGCCCATGTCGACTGTCTGCCTTTCCCTCATGCCAGCCCTGATTACTTCACTGTGATAATCCATTGGTGTATTTTGCACTATGATAAAAAACAATTTCTAGAACTCTTGTATCCATTCATTAGGTTAAAAAGATGCATTTGCCATCTTTAAAAATTTCTTTTCAAAGAATTCAATCAATTATAGTTAGTCATACTTTTCTTATTTTTATGAACTCATTTTATAAAATGTTATTCCCTTTGGGTTCATTTATTTTCAATTTATAGCAGTGGGATTCACATCCTATCTGTTGATTCTTGTTTAGGCTTTGCAGTTGCATGTTATTTATAGAAAAGGTAATATTTTAATTAGTGCACTAATATTTTAAATAGTACTTTATGTATGTTAAAGAAAGTTTTGTTATTATCAATTATTCTGTTAGTTTCCTATTTCTTAAGTATTGTTTTGTCAAATTTAGTCGTATTTCTTTCTTTTTTTTAAAAATTTTAAGGCTATTTCTTGCACTTGCAATATAATGACCCCACATTAGAGGTTCATTTTTCTTTGAATTAAAGAGGCCTTAATATCAAGTGTCGACTGTATATGGTATTACTATAGAAAGTGCGAAATCTAATAGCTGATTTTCAACAGGGGAAAATAACATCCAAATTTTTTTATTTCCAAGTGCAAAGCATGTAATTTATAAGTACAAAATTAAAATGTCTTGTTGTTACAGGTTCCTTTACTTCTTGCCCCTCAAATTTATCTGCATGGCATAATGTTGCTTTGCCTAGTGGTAATACTGTAAATTCTTCTTCATCACTGGATCAACCTTTGGATTTAAGTAAAACTTCTCTGAAAACAAACGCTAATGACTCCAAAGCAATTTCGAGCAAGTCCCAACATTCCAGAAATTTAAATTTTGATGATGATAGATTGTGTTCAAAATCAGTTTTGAAAGTTCCTCAGATCCCTGTAAAGCCTGGGTGAGTTTTTAAGTAGCTATGCATTTATATTTTTTCGATAGTAACTTTTTCTTAATCTTTTTTTTAACTTCGATTTTTTTTTCTTTATTTCGATAGTCAAATAAAGAGAAAAAAAATGTGAAATTTTTAGGACTGAGCTTAATGGTGATGCCTATTTAAAGTTTCTTCGAATTATACTCATTACATTACAGCCACTGATGTCCAAGAGAAAAGTAAAACAGAAATAATGAATAATAAGTAAATTTGTATTAAATGTAAATAATTTGAGTTTTCAAAGTAAAAGTTTTGTTTCGGAAACTAGAATGATTTTATTTTCATAAATTATTTTTAACAGTGTCTTCATTAAAATGCAGCAATTTTTAAGAGCATTTATAGATAATATAGAAAAATGAGACTTCAAACTTTTGTTTTAAGAGTTAAAAAGAATTTTTTTTATGTTTCTCGTTTGCTTTTTTTTTATAGTTATGTTTTTTTTTGTCTAATTTCATTATTTTTTTAGCAGCAGCAATTCTAATTACATTGTTTGTTTTTTCATTATGAAATTTTAATTTTTCTTTTTTTATATAAACTTTTTTTTTTTTTTGTTTCTTTATATATTTATTTGTATAATAATTGTATATAATTTTTTTATAAACTTATAAATTTCGCTAAAACTTCTCACAAAAATGAGTCTCAAGTTAAAAATCTTGCATTAGCCATTGTTGATACCTATAACAACCTGTATCTGCTGCGTTGGTGACAATTTCAATTCTTCCAGGATTTAAATTTTTTTTTTCTCTAGTTGATTTTTTTCAACCATCTTAAATTGAAAATAAAATATTATAAAATTAATATTTTAAGACAGAACCTAGGTAGATAAGTACCAAAATCTGTAAAATACCAGTTTCTTCAAGAAAAATAATAAATTTTTGTTAGGCGTAACAAAATCAAGAAAGTGTGTGTATGCATGTTGCAGTCTAGACCGTTCCAAGTTATGTGCAACAGATTTGAGTTAGCAAAAATATAATGTAACTCATTTCAAATAAAAATTATATTATATTAATACAAAAAATAAAAATTATATTAATAGACAAATATATATAATATGTTTCCCATAAAATTTCTGTGTTAATTAAATATCTTCTGCTAAGAAAGTTAAAATTACTTTTCAGCACTTTCCCTTACAATTTTATGGTGAGAAAAGCTAACTGCGCTTCTTTAGGAAAACTTTTTTTCTGAATTATATTATTAAATTTCTATCTTCTTATAGGGCAGGTAATAAAAAATCAAGGACCAGCAATGAAAGTTCCATGCAACTGTCCCCTCTCAAGCGCTTTAAAAGCACATGAAGAAAATATTTTTTCTACGAAATACATGTTATTAAGTAAATAAAGGAAAACATTTTAGTTAAATAGTTAGTGCAATTAAAATTTTTAAGAAAATGGATTGTATGTTAGACTACATTTTGTTAGCAGACACAAAAATAATCTAAAACCATAACTCTTGTTTGTTTTTTTAAATGTATGGACCAATAAAACTTTTTCATCCAAACAGCCTGGTAAAATTTCAATCTGATTTTTTACTCATGTGAAAATTCTACTTGTGATCTAATTTTTATTACCCACAGTTTATCTAAAATTTAGAAATGTCAACACGTAATTAAAACTGAAATTGTAAATTTCTATAGTAGTAGAAATTTATTTATTTATTATTCTTTTAAGTAACCAAATTCTTGTTTACACTCAAAATTTTAATATAAAAGCTGATAAATTCAAAATTACGAAACTCAGATAAAATTATAACTCAAGCAATTATGCGAATATTCTAAATTATTGAATTTTATGAGTAAAAAATGAATGCATAAAGTGATGTGAACTTTAAATTCAAAAACTTTTTTAATTATTCAGTTTTACTTTACAAAATTAATATTTTGATTTTCTAAATCAAGCTCTGGTTAAAAACACAAAACAATGTATTCATAACTATCTAAACAATTGTAAATAGATTATTTAAGCTTTATCTCAATAATATTAACAAGTCATAGAACTGTGGTGGTTCAGGGGGTAGAGTGCTCGACTCCCAATGAAGTGACCTTTGAATCCCAGCGATAGCTAGGTGACACAAACTCCACACCAGCCTTAGCGCTGATGTAAATATCCTCAGTGGATCATGTGTTAGCCACCTCTTGCTGTCAGGCTAACTGTGAGAGGTTTTCATAGTTTTAATCTCCATGTAACTCAAGTGTGGGTTAGTTCCATCAAAAAGTCTTCTGGATTGGGTGCAGAATAGCAAGGCTACAGAGTTGAACATCGGTAATTGTTAACTCAAAATTGGTTTGGCTGTTCAATGACGGTTATGAAATAAAATAAGTCATAAATTTGTTCTTGATTTTTGAAATTTGTTATTCTTATATTTACTGATAAAGTTCTTATTGCCAAATCATGTTCTTTTAATCTTAGAAATCTGACAAAAAAGTAATATCTAATAACTAAATATGTAATAGCATCATAACCAAAGTAATCAAGCACATTAAAAGTTTTTCAAATAGTTAAGTATTTTGTGAGCCTTATTGTATTTACTATCTCTTTTAACTGTATTTCAGTTAGGGCAGTAATTGCAAAACAAAAGTTTTTGCCCAATAGGTAAAAACCTATTTCATTTCTTTAATTAAATTATCCATATTTTATAAAAGTAAGTTAGTACATTTTGTACTAATGAAATTTTTTATTTGCTTGCAATTACTTTAGAAGAAAAATAGGGAGACAGTTATTACAAAAAAGTGACCCATAGATTTTTTAAAGGTGAAATTAAGTTTATTGACCCTAACAGAAATGGTACCTCAATTAAAATTTACAGTTCTGTAGGGAAAAGTGTTATTTGCAACCTGTAAGTTATATGTTATTCAATTAGAATAATCTATAGAGGCACTTATCATTCTTGGGACAATAATTACAGAAAAGTTGGGAACACATACATAAAAAATGATATGTAGAACAAAATATACTAATCATTCTAAGAATATTGATTATATATGCATTCAAGTAGGCACTCATACTATATCAGAACGAACACAAGTATGCATTTATCACTAACACTTTCATAACATAGTAAATTATTTAAAAAGTTCAGAAATGCATCTTGAGGACATGGGGCAGTAATGACATTTTTCCCACTTTTTATTATTTTTTTAAAATTTAATTTTAATACAAAATGTGTCTGCATATTTATTTTTTACTCTTTGTGAATATTTTAAGTAAAACATATNAATACTTGCGAGTCCACATGGGCGTCTACTGAGCTGGGTTCGGTGAGCACTCTAATGTGCAACTCTGCTGCATTTTACAAGATATTCTCCATCTCTGACTTTATTTTCCACCCTCTGATATCGAACCGAAAAAACTCTTGATCATTTTATGATGGCTAACATAATCAAGAAAAGAGTCTTTGTCAGAAACTAGTTATTTTATCATGATAATATGAAGTCTTTGAAAATTATTTTGCATTTTTAGTGCTTAAAAATATTTTTTGAGTGCTTAAAATGTACTTTAAATGTGCTTATTTTTTGTTGAAAGATTTGGCTATGCACCCTGTTATTTGTATTATTTATGTATTACAAGGTGTGTAGTGTTTTCAAAAAGTGCTTAAAGGTGTTATTTTTTGTTTTTTATTTTTTTCTTCAAGCAGCGTATGTTGCTTGGCTCCATTCTTTCAAGCTTACAAGTGCTCAATTTTCTTTTTCAAAAGAAACAAAAGGATCTTTTATTTTCCATGTTGATTGTCACCAAGAAAGTATGCAAAATGCTTGGTTTACACGACAGCGTCATTTTAAAGGGTTGCCACTCCTCAGGGAAAACCTGGAAAATACTGAGAATTTAAAAATCATCTAAAATAACAGGGAAAATGCAGGGAATTTTAAATTTTCAAACTGGAAAATAGGGAATTTTTGTCTTTTAAAAAATGCAGGCCCCTCAAATCGCAGGGATATCTGAAGATGATAGTTCGGCTGTATTAAATTATTATAGCATTATTTCTTTTATGTTGAGCTGCTCGTTATTTCTCTAAGTTTTTACAGCAACTAAAACTAGCATCGTGATCCTAGTATAACACATAAGAGTTTAGTGAATGTGCTTCCTCCTAATATATTGTGTATAATATGGGCAGGGAAAGCACAGGAAATTTTTTTTAACCTATATGATTATCACCCCTGATCAAATACAATCCGTTTCTGAGTACTGTCGTCGATATAGTACAAAAATGCTAATCGAGGACCCATTGGATCAACTACATATAGGTCCATATACGTGTGCACTGATTCTTATTCGGTGGGAAGAATTGTTATACTTACATGCGCAACTGTGTTGCGTTTTACAAAAGACTCCTGCCGTTTGAAATTCAATCAAAAATCTTTTTGTTTTTGTTGATCACAGGGACCAAACTAAACATTGCCAAATATTTCCTCAACAGCATACTTCATATCTTTATCACTTAATTACCTATTCATTTATCTCAATTTTGTTAATTATAACAAATAAAGGACCCTGGTAGCAGAAACCCTCCAACATGACAGATAGTGCTGCATATTAACGCAACATCTGCAGATGTTTCTCAAATCAAATTTTTTTTTAAGTATCTCAGTATTTGCTGACTATTTTTTCATCTAAGAATTTTTCTTTATTTATTTTTTTAAAGCAAGCTTAAAAAATTGCTAAGAGAAACAAAAATAACTTTTAATTCCTGAACTTCATCAATTATTGTTTACTTCAGTTCCTTAAAAAAAATTGTTTGCTAATATGCTGAAGAAAAGTGATTGTTTTCAAAATTCTAGATAATGGTAATTTTGGAAGAAAAAAAAGAATTTAGAGACAAAATATTTAAAAAAGAAAAAAATGAATTCTTAATTTCTGAAAACTCTAGTTGCTTGTTTACAGACTGTAAGGGCTTTTTCCATTTTTTAAATCTCAATTATTATTTTACATCATCCTATTTAGTTAAAATCTTATAAAAATGTTAATTTAAATAACAAAATGTAATAGAATTTTTTTTTGTTTTTAAATTTTATCTACCTAAAATTTGCCTATTTTCAAAATCACATAGATTCAGTTTACCTTATGTGTACTAGTATATGCTTAATTTTTTTTGAGTGTTTGAACTGTTCTAGTCTAAAGTGTTAGTGGCACAAACAAATTTAAATTTATGAAGTTTCTGCTGCAGAGTGATTTTTGTAAACTCTGCTACTGGGATAGGGACCATATAATAATTTAATTTGGTCAAAAATGTTGAATTGCAATGCTCTCTGTATTTTTAAATGTAATAGGGGCCCGACACTAATTTATATGTGTTATTTGAATTTATTTAGGTTCTCTTAGTTCACTTTATTCTCTACACATATTTCATATGTCCTCTATAGCTTTTTTAAATTATTGTATTAAATGAAAGCATTTTTTTACTTAATTGAATAAAAGCACTTATTAATTTAAAATACAGAATAAGCAACTCTATATTGAATACCGTAATTTCTGATATCTAATCCGTAACGACTTATAATCTGCTGCCCTCATTTTTTGGTGAAATGAAAATATAGTGGCATATAATCTACCTTGATCAACAGTGTCATTTTACAAATTCTTGTATTAATGCTGAAATACTGCATTTCAGCTATAGTGTAGAAATAATTGTTATTGATATAATTAAAAATCACAAGCCACATGTATTAAAATGAAATAAAATTCTAAAAACTAATAAATTAAATGTATTAATAAATATAAAAAATTAACGCAACAGAAATTTACGAAGAAATTATTACTTTTCATTATTCACTATAATAACCCTTCAAAATCTGATTCTGAATTAAACAAATTTAATATATCATAATCTAAAATTAAGTTACCAGGATCGCTAATATCCCTATCTGTGTCTTCACTTTTTTTGTAACTTAGCAATCCAAAAATTAAAAACATGACCCATTGATAAAGTTCATTTTCCTATTCAGGCCTAGTGGGTTTTCTTTTTCTGTCCCATTGTTGTCTTTTAGTCATAGTTGAAAGTTTTTCTTTGTATTGACTCCAAAGCCTGGTGTTAGATTCATCTATATTCTAGAATCTGAATGCTGCACGACTGGTCTCCTTCTCCATTAAATCAGTTACTTTCAGCTTAAATTCTGCTGTCTCTTACACGCTTTTTGCAATCCATCTTTTTTCCTTATTTAAATAGAACTTGCACTGCTGAGAGTCAGAACAGAAATAGTATAGAATGGAATCTGATTGAATTATAGCTGGCCAAAACCAAAACAAGTTTAATCTTTTTTTTTACTTCCTAAAATCTTTATGTGATGTTATTGGAGCTGAGGAGTGGTTTGCTTCTTTCTTACCACTGAAATCATTAAAGAAGATGGTTTAATAATAATAATTAAAAAACAAAAAGAGGTAAATCGAATGAGTAAAAGAAAAGAAAATACTATATGAAGAAAAAGGGAATGTATGAATTCAAATACAAATAAAGTTAGAAATAAAAATTGCAGAAATTCTGACTTATTTGTTTATATTTATTTTCCAGACTTACTGGTTATCATATTACAGTTTAAAATAAAAATGTAAAGTTAATAAAAAAAATTAAAAAAAACTGCCTTTTCTGAAAATTGCCACCATAGCTGGTTTTAATTCAGAAGACCAGCTTCCATTTAAAAAAAAGCTTCATTGTTTTTTTTTTTTTTTTAAATTTTTTCCAGATCATACGGAATAATGCCTGGACAGCGCTCNTTGAAAATGATTGAAAAATACCCTTAATTTTTTTGGTTTATCAACCAAATTTTAAAAACTTATTTTATGTGTAGGTTTTAAAAAGAAAACCTGTATTAAAATACCTATTCAGAATTAACCTTTTGCATGTTATCTAAGAATTGTTTTGAATATTCATATGTAACAGCATTTGATTGTGAAAATAATATGTGATTTGTAGTACAATACTATAATTAATTTGATTATGATATTTTACGAGTTCTATATAAAATTTTAAGTTCTAGTATTATCATTTATGTAAAGCATTGAAAGAAACTACAGTTGAGTAGTGCAGTACAGTTTTAATTAATTTATCTTTCTTTCCATTTTTTTCTTTCTAATTGTTACTTATTTAAAAATGATTCATTAAAGTATATGGAAATAATACTAATATTTGAATCACATTGTTATTATTAACTTTAAAATCTGTTTTTAGTACTTGATATTTCTTTAAGGGAAAAAAAAGTTTTTTCTGTTTAGTTTGGAAGAAACCCATTTCTTTTGGGGTGTTCTTTTTCCTGCAATTTTTCTCACTATTAAAGAAACTTGCCATTCCTGATCATGGTATATAAAGACATAAGATAAACATATCCAAACTGGTAATTGTGAAGAATATTTTAAACTTATGAAACTAATTTCTGTATTGTAAAATTGGGTACTGCATGATGATTTAAACAAACTGTGTGAAACATTTTATCTGGAAATAAAATTAATCTTTTATAAGATTATGAAAGATTGCAGAAAATTACAGAGAAATTTAATTACAAAAAATTTGATGTTTTGTTCTGTGCAATAAAACATAAATCTGAAACAATTTCAGATATAATTTTGCTAAATTTATCCTTTGGGTCCACACATTTTTGGTGTATGATCTTAATTATGTGTATTTGTTTAACAGGAGAAATAAAACATTTCTTTTTAACTTAAGAAATTATAGACAGAATATAATAATAGAATCTAAATTTTTGTCAAATTATAGTTACATAATTTTTTTTTTCAATTACAACGACATTAGTTTCATAATGTAAAAATGTATTGAATTATTAACCTCCATGATATTAGTTCTTGCTTTTTCTGAAATCAAAACTGGTGTTATTTCTGCCTTTTCCCTTATGGTATTCAATGGAAAAGTAGTGTGTTGCTTAATATTATTATCTGATTTGTAATTTTTTTAAATACATTTTTTGTCAATAACCAATTAAAATTTGTGAAATGCAATTATTAATATACAAATTAAAATAAGATTTCTAATGCCTTGATCTATCTAAAGTGATCTCTGTAAAGTTTATATTTTCATTTGTAATCTTTTAATTATAGTATATAATATTTTAATCTTTTATTCATATTTCATAGGTACTCTCTGATATTCAACAGTTAGCTCTCTTAAATTCAACTGAATCGATTCAAAATCTTAGCCAATCACTTTCATCTTTAAAAGACCTTAAGCTACCACTTTTGCCTGATTTAATACGACGTTTAGCAGAGGAAAGAATAGATTTTGAAAGAAATATTTGTCAAGACTCTGATAATGTTGAGGATGGATCTACAGATGTGCAGTCCGGTAACTTATCAAATGTGATACTTAAAGTTCCGTCCTTTAAACCTGTAAAATCTGCCAAGATGAGAGATGCTGAAGATTCCCACCTTCCTGATGTATCTTCCTCAGAACCCTCTACTGGAGCATCTAGTCATCCATTCTCAGGTAATAAAGGGATAACTGTTACTCTGAAAGAGTTGATAGCTAGAAGTATTAGTCAAAAAGTAAACTGGAATCTTGAAAATAAAAATATAGAGGATGATCAAAGCATTGAATTTCCTTTTCCTTCACCTACTAATACAGCTGGTTCTGCCTCATGGAATGGTGAATGTTTTTCCAAGATTGAGAAAGAAAGCTTGTCAAATAATATTTCCAGTTCAGCTGACAGTTCCAAAGTAGGAAAACGTACTCGTCCAAAACGAGGGCGTTATAGAAATTATGATAGAGATAATTTAGCCCGGGCTGTTCGAGCTGTACAGAAAGGTGAAATGAGTGTTCATCGAGCTGGAACTTTTTATGGTGTGCCTCATTCTACTCTAGAGTATAAGGTTAAAGAGCGGCATTTGTTAAGGCCTAGAAAACGCGATATTTTTAATTGTTCTTTACTATCTGATGGATCTGATCCAATTCTTACATCCAAGCTAACTACTTTGGCTGAAAGAAGTAAGGATAGTAAAAATTCAAAAAATAATCCGGTGAATGTTGAATCATCTGGATTGCCAAATAAGTCCCTACAATCTCACCGTCCAACGATGGACTCATACCCGTCCCCTTTATCTTTATGGCAAAATATGCCTTTTTTCTCTCTGGACTTTTCTAAATTAGGTTCTGATAATTTTTTTGCATCACAAATGATGCGGAAGCTTCAAGAAAATGCTCTTAATGAAGAATTGCAGAAAAAAGGTAAAACTAACGATTTTGGTATTATTGAAAATATAATTAAATCCACTTTGGAAAAAAATTCCCATGAACACAAATCATCTCGGATTGATGATATCGATTCAGCCACTGTTTCTGAATGCAAAGAACTAAATGATGAAAGTGAAATATAATATCTGTGTTCCAAAACTTGGCTGTTTCATCAGGCAGTGCTTATGAGCACTCTAAAACAGCTTTTTTTTTAGTAAAAGAAAAGAAACTTTCAACTTGATCTATTTCCAGGGTGCCTTTTTGGCATATCTTTTCCTGGTTTGAGGTTTTCCAAGCTAGTCTAAAATATACTGTGATCTGAAAGAAAACAAAATGGATTTCTTATATATCTTCGAAAGAAAAAAAAAAGGAAATATGTGAAAGTTTATTACTGAGAGTGTAAAATGTTTAGCAATATTTATGTATAAAACTATATTTACACTGGAATTTCCTCCTACAATTTATGTAAAATGTAAATTATAGAGTAATTTTATTTTAAAATTTAAGTAATCCATTAAAGTAAAGCTTTTGAAAATTTTGCATTTTTGTAAGTATGATGCATGTTTGCTTGGCATTCATTTGCTAATTCAATTCTATGATATCAAATGCCTATGAGGCAAGAAAAATATTATTTTTGTTATCTTTTTTGAACAGTTTGAAATGGTCTTTCAGACTTCCTGTTGTAAGATTTATCAATGGACTGATCTCCTAGCCTGATTGAGTAACTGCCATTGTTGGTTTAATTTGTTATGTTAAAAATGTGTGCTATGTCTGGAACAGTTTATTTTTTTATTAATAATTGAAACTGACTTTAAAATATTATATTAGTCTCATTTTTATTTGGTATAATGTGCTGTGAAATATAAAATAGCTGTTTTTTCCCTTAACTATTTTTCTATCATCCATTCTACTACATTTATTTCTTACATTATTAATATTGTGACAATTTAAGCTACATTAATGCTATGTTTTAAAGATAACTTAGTGAACAGTGATAAATGAACTGTTTTAAGCTTGGTGGGTGTTTAAAGTAATGAACTATAATGTAATATTTTGTGTTTTAAGTTTTGTTCTCCTACTCAAATTGAACTCTATTCTGGGATGCTGCTTACTAGCCTTTTTAAGGCTTCATCCTAGTGTTCAGGTTCTTATGGTGTGTGGTATAAAGTAAAATAAGAGTGTGCAGTGTTCGAGTTATTAAAAACATAAAAGTGTTAGACGATTACCAAATAAAAATACTTTTCACTAATATAAGCTCTTTGTGGTTTCCCTATGAAATTTCTTTATCTTAATTTTATCAAAAGTGTGATGGGCTTGTTAAGTGAGTTCACGCAAGCTCAGTTAAACACTGGGGATAACTTAAATAGACTCATGTTTTGTTTTTTTTTAATTTTTTATATATTAAATTTAAAAGTTAAATATAAAAACTTTCTATTATATAAAGTGCCAAAGTTTGTGAATTATACAAATAATTTAAAGATTGTTTTCTTTTGCAACCAACTTCTAAAACTAAATAGTGAAAAGAACCATTTTACTTTTAACACTTTTTCTTAAAACTGCTGTACCTTAATTTTACAGCTGCATAACTTAAGGCATTGGTGGTGATACTGGATGGTTAATATTAAAATTATGAATAGAAAAAAAGATTTCTATAAGTCAAAATGCCTATTTAAAGGCTTTTGATGCACTGATTCTATAGGGCATATCCTTAATTTTGTCCTGCACATGATGCATAAAATGAATATATTTATCCAAAAAAAATTTGGATTTATGTATCTGCCTGAAATATCTTAGTTAATACTAAGTATACATGAAAATAATTTCATCCCTATTCATAAAAAAATGTATAAAATTACTATTTCTAACTGTCCCTTCACCATGGAATCACCCTATTGGTGATATTGTCTGTCATTTTATGCAGCTTTAATGTAATAATTTTTTTATTACCCAGGTATAGTTATTAACTTTTTAGTATAGCTCTGGAAGACATGAACTGGTCTTTCTCATAAAGTTTGTTTGATATGGTAATTAAAGATACTCTGTGCATGTTAAATTAGAAGTTTTCCATATTTTTACAATGAGAAATAGTAATTGTAAGTTAATTTTTTTTTATCAAAGATTAATTATCTATTTATCTGTCTGATTAGGTTATATAGCTGCCACATGATACAAATGAATTTTTTAATTTGGATCAATTGGTGAACTAATTTTAACACCCCTAATTACATACAGTTGAACTCCAATAAAAAAAGATTAGTCTAAACCAGGCCCTTACAGGTTAACCAAAAAATAGTCTTAGAAGAAAAAGCTGACAAAATATTTGATGACTTCATAAATAAATGCTGTTTTTAAGTTTATAATTTTTCACCATTGAAATTTAACTAAGATGTTGTGCTTTGTCTTGAAATTCTATAGCCACTCATATAATCATATCTGAACTTATTTTTTCTTGAAAGTGGTAGAGATTTTGTTTTATTGTATATGTTTGTAATCCAATTTTTTTTTAATTTAATAGTTGCATCTTTGTTTAATTTAAACCATTGCATATATGACTAAATTTGAAGATTAGAAAAAGTTTCGTTGAAAATATTAAAAAGGACAAAGTTTAATTGAAAATGGGAAGCTCATATTTTAGAAAATAAAGACTAATCTTAACTAAATTTGTTTTTCAACTATTTAAAATTAAAACTTTTACAAAATATTCTTAAGTTACTTTGGTAGTGTGCAGATGAAGTATTAATAAATTGCTACTGCTAAAATTTATATATCCTAATTGCATTTAATAAATATCATTCTAATCAATCTAAATTCAGGTTTTTTTTAAACATTTTTACAAGAGATATTTTTCAGCATATGTACTATCTAGATGTAAATAATTTTATGTTTCTGTGGTGTTAGGGTTTGTTATCATACTTTTTCAGCATATATATTTACATGTAAATCTGTGTGTATGTAAATACAGTATAAATTTATGCATGTATAGCATTATTTCCAATATCAGAAATAATATATTAAGATTTTTCAAAGCTTGAATGTAAAACTTAATTTTCTCATCCTGATTGTTTTTTACCCGGTAATTTTCACCATTTCTTATAACAGTGTTGACTCTCTTTGTAAATTTAATATTTGCTATCAATTGAAATTATAAATTTTGTATAAGCCCTGACCAAAATGTAACTAAAATGCCAAATCCATTTTAGAAAAAGAAATCTATAATTGTCTAAGAATATTGTTTTTGTAATAGTCCTACATTTAAACATTATAAAGAATATTTTAGTCTTATTTCAGAGGTCTGTGTGCCATATCTCTTATATGGATCAACAAGATAAATTTAGTGGAAAATCTTTCAAGCAAGTTATATTTTTAGTTAAATGTGCTATTTGGGTTTCAGTTGTTTACTATTGAAGTATACTAAAATTATTTACTTTTTACGCATTTCTGGTGTTCATGCTTAATCCTCTACTTCAATAATATTGAATTTATTTAATTAAATATGCTTAAGTGAATAGGATGTGCAAGTAATATTATATGAGGATAACTTTTATTTCTATAGTATTATCAGATTTAGAAATGTTTGCATGCTTGCCAACTAACTAAAATTAATACTTCGTTTTTTACAAAAAGTAATATGAATGCCGTTAGTGTTTACCAGCTGTCAGAAGTTAATCATAGCTCTTCTCTACAAACACTATAGTAAACTATAATGCATCTCAAAACCCTTGAAAATAAATGGACAAAAAATTTGTATGGGAATACAAATTTTCTTTTATGTTTATACTTTCTAATCTATGTATTAATGTATTCCAGGTTTCTACCCTATGTTGAACAACACTGGTTCTCTATTTTACTATTCCTTTGCCAATGTTTGAACTTTAATTGCCCCTTTAATATCGAAATGTTTGCCATGACTGGTTACTAAAAAAAAAATTGCAGATTGATTAAAAGAAAGAACATAATGCCCTTAGTCTTCATTGAATTATAAAGAAATGGTTTGATTGTTATTTAGCATTGAACCAATTTTTTTAAAATTTCAAATTAGTAAAAAAAGAGAAGATAATAGTAAAGGATATTAAGTCTTGGTGTTTTTGAAGAAAAGAATTTTTCCCTTACCAATTTATTTTTCTAGAAATATAAGTTAGGTTAAAATTAAAGTAGTAATATTTAAATCTAGTCTTAATTTAATTTGTTTTCATTTCAAGTAATGATAAACAGATCAAAAGCAATTTGCTGTAAATATTTTAATTACAACATTAACTTATAACATATATTTGGAAGATATCCAAACATTCCTAAAATTCCTCTGATATTCAAATAGAAAATAGTAGTGATTGATTTGTTATTTTAAACTCCTATTTTTTTATGCAATATATTATCTTAGTTGATGCATTGAATATTCTCATAATTAATATAAGTAATGAACTTATCAAAATTTTAAAACCTTTGTAATCTAAATTTATTTTAAAATGAGTAATAGTAATTAGTAAGCAAATATTCTTATAACTAAATGATTCCTTTTTAAAGCCATTGGCAAAGTTAGCCAGCATACAGTTGCAAGTATTATTTATTTTTATTCATTCCAAGCTAAAGCTAAAAAATTTTTCTATATGGTATATGCCACTTTAAACAAATTGATACACTTTTTAGACTGTGCTTTATGTTTAAAAATATCAGTATTTCTATTATTATTTTTTTTAATAAATACTTCTAACCATACCAATGGCCACAACATTCCACATTTTTTTTAGTTTATAAAAATTTGTTTTTCTGAGCCATTGTTTTTATTTTAAGGCATATATTTTTCAATATTTATTTTTCCTTTTAGTTATTTTAGGTGTTTTAATGTAATAAGTAGTACTTTTAGTTCATATTTTATGTTGGGCAAAAGACCAATTTTTTGGACCAAAAATTGAAATTTTGTGTGTTCACATCTGTTGCCATTAAGTGTTTTGTTAATTAATTTTTATGCTTTTATAAGAAATATTGCTATTTATTTAATTTTATGTATACACTTCTAAAATCAATTATCTCTGTTTTTGTTATTAAAATTTTATTTTGATTTGTTGTCGTACTTTTTGTTGATTGTGATATTCTAGAATTAATTTATATAATTATCTTTTTAAAATTATGTTATGTTGGTTATTAGTTATCATGCTTACCAATACTGTTAAAAGTTGTGAAGGTTCCTGTTAATTATGATAGGTTCCTGAGTATTTTCTTGTCATGTTTATTATCCATTAACTTAAATGATCTGAAAACTGAAAGTTAACTGTCTTATATGAGCTTTTTAGAAGAATAATGTTAACTGAATTATTAATGTGCTCAAACTGTTAAATGTTTTTATTAATCAGTGAAAAGTATCCTTGTCATCATAATCGACTCCTGAAGGGTATTGTACTTTGATAAATATTTTACTTTTATTGTGCAAAATATTTTCATAACATAAAAATCTAAAAGTTTTAAAGAAATTCTATTTTCCCTACAAAAGAAAAAAAAAAAGAATGTTCAAGTTTTTACTTTGATCATTTTGTTAGATTTAGAGTGCGTAAAAATTTGAAATTGTTGTCTTATGACAGAATCAACTGTATGTGAATGTTAATAAATGTAAGATATATATTTATTTTTTTTTCTTTTAAGTATTAATTTAGTAACTCAGGATTAAATAAAATGTGACTACTTTAATGAAATATCCTCTTTTTTTAAAGAAAAAAAAATATTAGCCTACGACATCTAGTTGGCTGAATACTAATTACTTTTTATTTCTAGAATGAAAAAAATTAAGTGAATCTTAAATTTTTAAATAAAAGCACATACTCAATTTTATTTTGCTTTTTTGAACCTCTAATTTGTACCAATTTGAGTTGTATATGTATTTACGAATACTTTATATTTATTTGTAGTTATTAGTTATGGTTTTTTCATCTTTAAATAAATATATCTGTATTAATTTTAAAAAAAATATTTTTATTTAGTAATAATTTAGTTTTTAAGATTTCTATCTCAAACTAATGAAAAATATTCGTATTATGAAGCATAATTATTATGACTGTATGAGAATATTTTAATTAAAATTAAAGATATTACAATTCAATTTAATGTTTACTGTCAATACTTATGTGGATAGTCTTCTTTGGGATTCTTTGAAAGTAATTTATTTTCATTCTAGAAATAGCATTTGCGGTGCATGATCTGTTAAAATATTTCATTTGAAGAATCATTGAGCCTACACTGCTCGTCCTTATTGCTAACTAATGATGAATAAATTTTTTGAATTACATTTTGCGTGAGTTTAATTATTTCACAAATTATTGATACATTAAAATTTGATGTGAATATAACTTTTTACTGTCCTCCTTTTCTGTGTAGAACATATTTTGTTACTGTTCCTATGACTCCCAACTTTGTTTTCATAAACCTCGATGTTAATTGACATCACCATGGGAGTCACTGGATTTCTGTCCTGGTGTTTTAAACTCTCGAAAATATTTAGTGTTCTATCTTAATCCTATTAATTTGAATTAGAAAAATACAAATTAACAATTATGTACAAAATTTTAACTCATTAAACTTGGGTACCATCCACAAAAATATTGGGATATCTTCTCTATTTGTTTCAGAACTTTTTCTGAAAGAATTTTATGAAGATGAAAAACTTGATTCCAAACAATCCAGTTGAGCAGTAATGTATCAAATCTTGTATGATGAGGATTTGTTTGAAAAGTGTAATTTATTTAAAATGGTTTTAATCCAATTAACTCTTCAATAATTTTAGAAAAAACGCATTTGAAAATTTAAACTTTATATGCTAGTTAAATATTTGGTTCATTAACGGTGCAATGATCTAGCAGCCAAGTATCTTTTTGATTGCAAGATGCTTTTCACAGTAATTATCTTTTTTCTTTATCTCTTTTTTTTTAACTATATTTTTTCTGTTTACAAACAGTATTAACATTTTATTTACTGTATTATTTTAATTATTAACTGTTACTTAACATTTAAATTACAGTATATTTTTTTTATTCTGTTTACAAATTGTATTTTAAGTATAAATTTTTTTTTGTTAATGTATTTTTTTAATTGTATTGTACTTGACGTTTAAATTACAGTAATAATTCAAGCAAAAGATATGGATTCAAATGTATAAACAGTTAGATTTTAAAGTGATTCTTCCAAAATATACTGTTTTGTACAAACTTGTGACGTCTATTTTTATCGACTAGTAAAAAATCTAATAAATCAATTGCAGAATTCTGCATAGGTAATTAAACAAAATCTAGCCTAAAAGTTTTGTTGGGGACTTCATATTGAAATAAAATCAGATAATCATTTATTTCCATCACCTATTTTTGATAAAATGATACAATATGATTGATACGCCTCTAAACTTTCAAATGATTGGGAAATCTTTTTGAATGTTTGTGACTTATGTTTTTCAACAGAACAACTTCAAAAACATTGTTCATGTTAACAGTCCTCTTTTTATTGACTATGCAAGGAGCCATTTTTTTTAAAAAATTTTAGAGATAATTAAATAATAAAAATCAACTTTTTGAATTATTATGTGATCCAATTATAAATATTTTAACCATTATTAATTTGGAAAATAAAAATGGTTATAATTATCCATTATGTTTGAAAAGAAACCTCTGGCACAAAATACAATTAGGTTTAAGTTTTCCTCCCACTTTTAAATTTAAAAAATGTGTGTGGAATAACAAGATAAATACCAGGTAAAAAAAAAAGTCACTGAGCAGTTAGTATGAAACAGTTATGCTTGTATAACTGCCACTAATATACCTTTCTCCCACTATTAATTAATGTGTTCCACTATTGATTAATTCTCCCACTATTGATTAATGTGTATAAGATATATTAATCTTAAAGCTCTTCTGTCTTATAATTTACTTTTTTCTTGCATCTCATAATACAGGGTAGCCTGGAATCCTCAAGGGATTAGAAAAAACCTGTCTGTAAAATCCACTATGAATTTTGGGGAAATTAAGTGACTAATAATGATAATTAGTTTAAATCTATTATTAGGCAATGAAACTTTCAATTTGATATGATTAATTATCTAAAACTTATCCAGTAGTACTTTCTATTAAATGCTTTTATTTCTTATGGCATTAAAATATACAAATTTTTGATGTCAATCAAATCTATCTTTAACTCTTAATTTAATGAACAGAAATTATAATTTACATTTTGTTTGATTTTCTTTCTTTTTTTTTAATCTTGAATACAAAATTAAGAAATTTGCACTTAACAAATTCTTAGTGCATATAAATATGTAAGTAAAATTCTCAAATACCATTAAAATTATGCTAGTTTAATTTGCAAAATTTTTAGAATTTTTCTCTGAAAATCTCAGGGATTTTGATGGCAGAGTAGCCACACTGTAATGCTTTTAAAAACAAGACTCTCACTCAACTCATGATATGCTTTGCTGCTATAAGCAGTTTTATTGTATTACTTTATAGTCTCTAGTTTTATTGTATAAGTTACTATATCTAGCTGACTACACTTACGTATGGGTCATTCTCACAAAAAGGTGATTTTCTAAGTCCCTTAGTAATAAATATTAGAAAATACAACAGATTTCTTAATATTTTTCTTCATCATTTTTTGCAAAGTTCTAACTAACAAATCATATGCATTTCTGCTAAATGTCTCCTCCATGGACGTAACAAGTCCACGGAGAAGAAGACGCAGTCAATGGAAGAGACAATGTGTTAGATGACCATAATATAATTTTAATAATTAAAAAACTATTTTCTTTTAATTGATATTTTTTAAAATGCAACAAATGTGTTAATTTGTTTGTATTTTTAAGGAAAATCAATTAAGCTTAACTTTTTCTTGTCGGAGAAGTAAATATTGGCAATTTTTCTAAATTTCTGTGATGTTTAAAATTTTTTTTCTCTTCAAATTTTAGGAAAAAAATGGCAAAACCAAAATGTAAAAAAAGAAAGCAATCAAATGTTCAAATGCAAAAGAGAAGGGAACAGCTAAAACTTAGTATGAGACAAGCTAGACAGAAATTAAAAGAAAACCCTATACCGTTTGAAGAAAGTTAAAAAAAAAAAAAGAGCAAGAAACTTTAAAATCTGTATCAGAAAAAGATTCGACAGAAAAATCGTGAATAATTGTACTTAAATTTCTAGAAATTGATAGAGCAACAAGAAGAAGAAAAGAGAAAAAACAAAAACATTATTTGGATGACAGTATGTTTAACTTGCATAAAATGTTCATAAAAGAGTACCCGCAACACTCAACTTTCATGTGGAGTCTGAATTTTTATTTCAATAGTCTTTACATTTTAATTTATTAATATTCAGTAAGAGTTACTTAAAAAATTGTACACCTAGGTTAAAAATGGATGTTTCCTTTCATAGCAGCATGATTAATCGGAAGTAGCTCTATCTCTAATAATGAAATATTTTATTATTTACTTATTAATGTTAAACACATATCAGTTGTACCCAATAATTAATGAATTAGTCTTCATTGACATTTTATAACAATAAAATGTCTCCTTCGTTGACTATTATATCTCCTCCGTGCACAAGGCAGAATTTAAAATATTTTAAATCTTGTAAAAAATAAAATAGAAAACTTGACCATTATTGTAAGGACATGTAACAAAAATAAATAAAGGCATTTATGTAATATTTATCACTTTTTTAATTACTTTAATTTAAGAAAATTTTTTAGTCTATTTATACCTTTTCAGTGAGAATGACCCGTATATAACTTAAGAATTCTAAATTTAATAGATGTATCAAAAATATATTTAATTGCTAATACAAGTGAACAAACTACTAAATCAGATATTCACTACTGAAAAAAAAATAACAGGCTTTTTATCTGAACAGATAAGGAAATTATAACTTATGTCAGAATAATTTCACCTGTATAAAATTCCCTTATGTTACGTTATTTTGACACAGCTCATCCCTGAAATTATTTTGCCTTGTCAGAACGGGCTTGTTAATTATGCAATGAATAGAAAAAAGTAACTTTACACTATTTACTATAATATTTAAAATATTTATTTGTATCAGTAATACATTCTATTTTTTTACAGAATTTAATTTTGATGTGCAGCCGCTAATTTAAATTATTTTACCTGGTCAGAGAACAGTCTAGTTATGCAATAAATAAAGTAACTTGCCACAGTTTACTATAAATTTTTAAATATTTGTATCAGTAATATGTTCTTTCTTTACAGAATTTAATAATGTTGAACCATTGACTGAAATTATTTTGCCTCGTTCGAGAATAGGCTTGTTAATTATTCAATAGATAGAAAAAAGGAACTTAACACAGTTTAGTATAATTTTTAAATATTTATTCGTTTGTATCAATAATATGTTCTTTCTTTACAGAATTTAATTTTACTGATGTGCAGACATGGACACATTCCTAAATGCTGCATCTAAGGCCAAAGCATAATTGTTTTGAAGAATATTATGTATTTGAGCCGATACATGTGTTCGATAAGCATCTTGCAGGACTTTTAAGTATTTGTTGAGAGGAGCTGGCAGTCCAGAAAAAGTTGGAGTGATTTGTCCAACCTTATCGACTTTCAATTTCTTTAGGGATCCACGGTATAAGGGATGTAGTCCCGCAATTTCCAAAGAAACAACAGTTTCAGAAACATGTCCCATGTTTCGGGGTAAATAAATATGGCTTCCGTTCCTTATAATGACTTTATATTCAGTAATTAACTGGGTTAAACCAATGGTGCAGTTGATTAACATTGTTTGTCCAGATTTTGTTGGCCCTGTGCAATCACCTCTTCGCCTTGCTCTGTCTAATCTAGTGAGATTACCACGACTAAATATTGCTTCTCCTACATTTCCATATATGTCTTGAACTCCAAATTTAGTTTCGAAATCGGATATAGAAGCCGGGTCAAGACCAGCTTTGAACACGGCTGTATGCAAATTGTCTTTAATGACTGCATCCATGTATGAGTTAGCATCTTGGCTGGACAATCCTATACCTACAAATTTAAACAGAAAAAAAAATTCATATTTAAAATGTATTTTAATTAGCTCTTTCATGAGTTAGACAATTTGTGTATGTTTTTGACTTGAAGAAACATGACGTGTCTTTTAAATGAATTTTAAAAGAAGTAATTATTGGGAATTATGTTTTACAAATATATTTTTAATAAGTATATCTATATATAATTGGTAACCTGTGGTCATTTCTAGCCTAAACCTATTTTGTTTAAGTTAGAATTAAAAAAAATAAAAAAACTAATAATTCTAGAATCTAGTTTCCTTGATATTTCAGAAACAATATTAGTCTGGAACTGGAATGAATTTTTAAATATCAAAGCTGGAAGCTGTAGTTTTTCCCATAATGAATTGTCTTAGTTATTAAATTTGAAATATTCATGATTAATTATTTACACTTTAAAGTAAAATCATATGGGATTACTTAAGCCACTTGGGTAACTTAGCTCGCTTATTCAGGTTAAATTTCCTACCCTTATTTTAGCAATATTGTTTAGATGGTTTATGGTTTTCATGCCGTAAGTGTGAAGTTTTGCATCACTTATTTTAATACTGTGTGTGCCTTAAAGGTAAGTTAATAAACATTTACTTAGATTTAAGATAATTTATATGTTTCAAAACTTTAATCACAAGTTGTACACCTTGCATACATTTTAAAACCTAATCCCAAACCATTATTGGTTGTTTTATTTCAATGATTACATTTTCAATGCTTATAAGTGTGTAGCTGTTTCCTGTATAAGATAATGAAAGCTACCAAATTGGCTTTTAAAAATGTAAAATTAGGAATGGAATCCCAAATAGTTACTTTTATTAGAAACCCTTAATATATATTTAATTTTTCTGCAATTTGATTTGCATAATTTACTGAAAATTTTAAACATTCGGTTGCAAACAAAATATACTATGTATAAAGACTTCATTTAATTGTCCAAGTAAATCACATATTCTAGATTTAGAGGATTTATTACAAAATTTATGTAAAAAGTCAGTATTACATTTGTTAGTTCACATTATTGTTATCTATGAAATATATAACTCGAAACAAATTCATTCCTTTTCTACAAAATCTTTATTAGTCTTTTTAAAAAAATAAAAAGACAGTTTACTTTTACTTAATATTTGAACTTGCTGATATAAGATAACACTCTGCACTTTTTTTTAGCTAATAAACGTTTTGAGTAGTTAATTTTTTTTTTTTTTTTTACCAAATCTAACATAATCCAAATATTGAATTTTTACTCTTGGTCTAAATTACCCCATATTGCAGGATTGACCTCAAAATTTATATGCATATATATATATATATATTAACTTTCATACATTTATACATAAAATGTAACTTGTAACCAAGTTTAGAATAAAAGCCCGTAAATTGCTAATTGCAGGCCTCCAAAATGGTCCTTCTCTCCTAAATCCGTTTTTGTCCTCTTTTTATTGTTTTGATCCACTTAGTCTTTTGATTAATAAAATCTGTTAAAGGAAGTGTTTTAATTACATTAAAACTGCTATACACGCTAGTTTTATGCTTCAACCTTTCTCCTCATCATCAAATCTAAACTTATTCGCTAACATGACAATGCATCTATACAAAACTTTAGCAATATAAACAAACAAATGAAATTGATGTTATTGATAAACCCGTTTCCTTCCCTGACCTAAATCCAATAGAGAACTTTTAGGAAATTGTGGTTAAAAAATTAAAATTATGCAAGCATTCGCTAATATAATAAAAAAAGATGCTTTACAGTTAGGAATACAAATTGCTTGAAATGAATTACTTTTAGTAAATTAAAAAGGACTTTCTCATAGTGTACCAAATAGATTATTTCAATGTATTAAGTAAATGATTTTATTGAAAATAGTGTAGTTAAATTATTTTTTAATGAAAATAGTGTAATTAAATTGTTTTTTTTATGAAAATAGTGTAATTAAATTGTTTTTTTATGAAAGGCGTGTTTAATTTTTTCAATTATTTATCATTACATTCAACAGTTTTATTTTTAAATTGTCTCTTCGAAAACCTTTTTTTTTTAAAAAAAAAAATGTAATTAGGTTGGAACAGCTGTGCAAATTGCTCCAAAACAAAACTCTGCTCGAAAAACTATTGTTGCCAAAATTGCTCCAATATTCGTCGTGTAAATTTCAATTAATGCTTTTATCTGGCAAACAAATTCAGGTATCACCCTTCATTGAATCGAGCTCGTCAAAAACTGATTTTTAAAATACAAACTTCGCTTATCATAGTAATCTATCATAATAACCGAATTGGAATACCTGTGTAGTAAGCGTCGAAAAAATTATTAAAAAACGAGGTGAATTTGCAATTGAGTTGCAGCCAAAGGTAGCATGCCTAAATGTAATACCTAAAATTCGAAATAAGCGTGCCGTAATGACGTATTAAAAATATCAAGTGGAAAATACCAGTAAGAGTGACTGTAAAATAACGTGAAATATCAGTAGAACCGCCACAAATGTTTATTTCCAACAAATTGTTAAAAAGTATTCGTTACGCAAATTCGAACAATTTATGTGTCATAACATACTTTTAATTAAGAAATATCGGATTTTAAAAAACTGTTCAATTGGCCGAGAAAACTTTCAGAAAATAATGTGGTTCTGAAATAGAATCATCATGTTTGTTAAAAAGTGATTACTCAAGTACAAAATTCGTCTGCCTTAATAAAAATATCAGAATTCGGAAAATTACCCGGAAATGATAAATAATGTCGTTTATTTGCGATAGAATTGTCGTGAACCGAACATGTCAAAAAGTGACTACTCCAATTCGAAATCCAAATGTCGCAAATAACATCTTATTAAAAATTTTATAATTTGAAAAACCATGCAGAAATGGCGGAAAAAACACAGTTTTAACGATAATAATTGTAGAAAAAGAAACGATTGAAAAACCACCTAGTTTTATGAGTAAATCGGTATAATATTAGGTCGTATAGGCATCTAATTATTAAAAATGCATTTTTATCTAAATATGGTTTAAACCTTTTTAAAAATAAAATGTTTTTATTCTGCAGGAAACCCATTAAGTAAATTTTTTCAGGTATACTTTTATTAAGGTAGTTCTTTTTTGCGTTTCTAATGGGTTTTTTTTTTTCTAGTAATGCATTTTTTCAAGCCCTATTAAATGTGGTATAAAATGTACACACTCAAATCTGTTCAAAAATGGTTGCGCAATTAATAGTTTTTAAGGAGATTACCTATAAACATTTCATTTAAGGCAGGCCACACACTGATGAGGCAAGCGCTATGAGGAAAGAGGTATACGGGTAGCCAATTCCTATCTTCTGCGTTAGGATGCGCTGAGATCATGTGTGCATGCTAATGCAAAAGTATGGGAATCTGCCTTTCGTATGTCTGGCTAACCGCTTGCCTCCTCAGTGTGTGGTCTGCTTAACTGAAATTGTTTGGGCATGTATAATTTTGTTTAACACTCTAATGAAACCTTTAAAAAAAAAACGGTCTTTTAATGTTATTTAAAAACCTAATTTGTGACACTGCTGAACAAGTTCAGCAAAAAGCTTTGTGACTTGTAATTGTTTTTCCTATATATATATATATATATATATCTTCCTCCTCCTACATATTGTTTAACAAGATGCATATCAGGCATGCTTTATAATGCAAGGAGACTAAGAGACATAGAATTATTTTAGCTAAGCAGTGCACTTACCACACATAAAGATGAGAAAAAATAGTTTTCCAATCATCTTGGATGTTTCCGTTCTTTCTAAAATAACAAAAATAACATTTCTTGAATAATTTTAAATTAAGATAACAATACCGTCACTGCATAATATGATCCAAACATACCTTTTTTTAATGTAGATGTTATATGCTAGTAGAAAAGAAAAGGATATTTAAATATGCAGGGTGTTCCGTAATAACCGCTCTTATAAAATATATAAGTAAAAAGGCTATGCACATTAATAGTTTCAAATCAACATTAAAGTTAGAAAAAGAAGCGTTTTAGTAATCTCATGAATCATAATTGAAAATATATGAGCTATGAAAAAATTTAAATCGCATAAAACCAGTTTATTGGAAGATAAGCAATTTCAGTCTCCTAGAGATTCTGGATTTTGTTGATTTTGATACATTCTTTCCTCTTCCAAATCTCAATAATAATTAGTAACAGTTGGAAAAGATTTTTCTCACAAGTATTTTAATTTGCTACTTAAAGTGCTTGATTTATTTTTTCTTCATTTTTTGCAGAAATACATAAATGAATATATTATAGGGCAGTTATTACGGAAAAAAACCATCTCTCTCATACGTTTATAGTTGTGTCATAAAACAAACAATTATAACCTGACAAAAGTTTTTTTTAATAAATGAAATATATTTGAACTAATACTGCAAAACATCATTCAATCAAAAAAAAAAACTACGAATNCGCCCCTAATGTACATAGTATTATAAGGATTTTGAAAGGTAAATACATTAAAGGCGGTCGTTATGTTTTCCCACTTCAAAACTTTTTTTTTTTTAATCAATGGGAAATTAGGAGTTACTTGAAAGGGAAATTTTGATTCATTAAAAAAAAAAATTCTATTTTGTAGACTAATTGTTGTTGTAACCACCAATTGTTGATTGCTTTTAAGTAACGTAATAAATATCATTAAAATTACTTTATTTTAAACAGCCGACCTAATTGAGTTTACGACTATCAATGTTAAACTCCGTAGCCTTGTAATTTTGATCTCAATTCTGAAGACAAGAGAACTCCTAAAAACTAGCCTTCGTTGAGGAACTTTTTGATGAACACACGTTTCTAAACCACATTTCCAACCCGCATTTGCGTTACATAGAGAGGAAAACCTCCCACGGTTAGCCTGACGGCAAGGGGACTCTGACCATGAGGATATTTTACGTCATCACTGTGGTCAGACGTAGTTTGAAACGCGTAAAATAGTTTTAATAAAATCTATGACTGATTTTTGATTGTAATAATATTAAAAGGAGCAGGTGGATAATATCTTAGAAGTTTGACAATATCCTAACATGTTAACATTCTTCATGCGATAATTAAAAATATTTCAATTAATTTAAATTTCTTCAAAAAATTTATTGACGCATTTAATAGTCAACTTACTTCTAAGTTACGTTATTCTAAGTAAAAATGGCATTTCAGTAAATGAGCAAAAATTTTCTAATTTCTAACGCTTTTATTATTAACGCACTTAAAATAATAAGTGAAGGAAAACTTAATTTACGTTAGCGTATTCTAAAATAAATACTTTTTTTTTAAAATCTAATTTGTATTAATTCTATCTTTATTTTAAACAGGGGTTTCAAAGGGGTAAGTGAGTAAACTTTAAAGATAAAATCATATTCACTATATTATGATTTTTAGAAATGTTATCAGAAAAACGGAAAATAATATTTTAAAATATATGTAAAACTACTATTTTATATTTGAGATTCTGGAAAATTTATATTCAGGAAGGCATAACAGAGGGATAATTTTATAAACAAACTTTTTCGCATTGTAAAAATTAAAAGTACTGTGTATATAACGAACTATACAAAACATACTTTTATTTAATAAAAGCAATCACTTACCTTTTTCCCAGTTGAAGAACTGAAGCATAAATCTCAGACTTATCATTTATATAGTTTTAGTGATAAGTGAACACATGGGAAACAAAACTGCTGTTATACAGGGGACGTATAACAATCAAATTTCTCTTTAAAAAATGTTGATTGTGGAGGTATCACTAAATATTTTATAAATTTTTATCATTGTAAAAGCATAAAAAGAGTTTGAATTCAAATTATTTCATCAAAAAATCATTTTTTTACATGTTTTATTAGAAATGTTTCTACGATTTTTAATATAATATTTTTATAAGGGAAAACTAAATCATTATTTTTAATTATTAGTTTGTTCTGTGATGGTTTTTATTGATAGGATGTTTCTTTTTTCATTTATATGTAAATTATTTTGAAGAAAATATAGGTTTATTTCTTCTAAAACTAAAATTATTTACTTTTCTCCGTTCTAAATGCATAGTTCAATATCCCAAATTAAAAATTAATCGTGATTGCCCTTATTATAATGATGAATAGGATTTATAATAACTCTCAAATAAATGTATTTTGAAGAAACAATACAAATAGAAAACTAACAATAAATGTGTTATCTTTTTATTAAATATTTTTTTACGTAGAATTATGGTTAGTTTAAAAAAAAAAATTCTAAATGAAAAAAATATCTTTCTATGAAATAAAAAATTCACCTACTATGAGATATGTACCATTGACTGATAAATTCTTTTCTTAATTTATTATTCAAAACTAAACGCTTTTTCACACTTTTAAATTCATATCCTGCCCTTCAATCTATCTTTGGCCCAAGTATGCATTAATTAAAAGTAAGACATTTTTCCCTTTGCTCTTTGTGGGAATCGCGTGACCTATTTAATAAACCAATTACTAAGATTTCCCTAAAACGAAGCATTTTACGGATTTACTTTGCAAGATTTTTCCTAACTTATATTGAAGAGCACAACAATTTCGTGTCCACTTTGAAAAACGTTCTCTGTCTGATAATTAATAAATAAATTTTGTGCCCTTCTTCCCCGCATAAGACCTGTTTTTATCCTTCCGCTCTATCTATTGAGTCTCTCCAATGACTTGAAGTGATAAAAATCCCTTTAGTCATAGGAATACGGAAAGTCAGCTGCCTTTCTACTATATCGTGATAAATGCACGATGGAGGCAGAATGGAACGATTTTCTAAAAAAATGTATAGAATTATATTTTAAAGAAATTAAGTAATTAATTTTAAATATGCTAACATTATAACTACCTTATTTTTAAATACGTATTTTTTGATGACAAATATGTTACATAACCGAAACTATAATGGATATTGACTGAAGAAATGCATGTGTTTAAGCTATTTAATTTAAATAAAAATTATTTTTGGCCATGTAAAATTAAACAATATTTTAGTTGTAAAGATATATCTAACACCATATTAAATATATTCTCCAAAGTCTTGCTGTATGGTATGAAAAATATACCAAGCTGTCGTTCATGGTATTAAACGAAGCAAAACAACAACAAAAAAAGACTGAAACAAAAATAAATTTTCATATAAATAAATGAAATTTCAATCGGTTTAAGTGGATGAAAACTGGACAAATTATAAGTTTTTAGAAGAAAAAAAAACTTATATTGCTAGTTCCATAGTTGCGACCCTTAATATATCAAAATAAAGTCCGTTTTAGGAGTCGCAAATATTTAAGTTAAAGGACAAAAAAGCTATCAAAATCTGTCGAATCACTAGGGAAGGCATGATGAAGCTTGGAGATATTTATAATAATCACATTTCAAATGCTTTGTTTCTTACGGCAACCAAACCAGTTTTGATTCTCTGTGACGCCTTCCTGGTTTGTTAAATTTCAATTGTTCATCCAAAAATTAATTTACGCCCCTAATGTACATAGTATTATAAGGATTTTGAAAGGTAAATACATTAAAGGCGGTCGTTATGTTTTCCCACTTCAAAACTTTTTTTTTTTTAATCAATGGGAAATTAGGAGTTACTTGAAAGGGAAATTTTGATTCATTAAAAAAAAAATTCTATTTTGTAGACTAATTGTTGTTGTAACCACCAATTGTTGATTGCTTTTAAGTAACGTAATAAATATCATTAAAATTACTTTATTTTAAACAGCCGACCTAATTGAGTTTACGACTATCAATGTTAAACTCCGTAGCCTTGTAATTTTGATCTCAATTCTGAAGACAAGAGAACTCCTAAAAACTAGCCTTCGTTGAGGAACTTTTTGATGAACACACGTTTCTAAACCACATTTCCAACCCGCATTTGCGTTACATAGAGAGGAAAACCTCCCACGGTTAGCCTGACGGCAAGGGGACTCTGACCATGAGGATATTTTACGTCATCACTGTGGTCAGACGTAGTTTGAAACGCGTAAAATAGTTTTAATAAAATCTATGACTGATTTTGGATTGTAATAATATTAAAAGGAGCAGGTGGATAATATCTTAAAAGTTTGACAATATCCTAACATGTTAACAGTATCTTATCATATACGAAGTTTTATAAAAAAAAGTACGACTTATCTTAAAAACAGAAATTTCTTGTAATGAATTCCAAAATATGAACAGTATAATATTTAACTAGAAATATCGTAGCAAAGAGATAATTTTGTTCTAAAATTATCTGCTCATCACACAGAGTAAAGGGAAATTTATTTCACTAATATGAGATAAACTTTCTCTCAATTAAAAAAAAAGTTGAACCAAATAAAATTTCTACATTTTTTTTCCTTTGAAACAGATTTGTGATTGAAATTGTTTTTGATAATTTTTTCTTTAAATTGTTTTAATAGCCACATATTGTGCATAAAATATCAAATTTTGAAAATGTGTGACTCCCTAGTTTTATCTGATCTGGAAAACCCGGGTACACACACTCGTAGTTGTCCTGCTATTCCTTATAAGAAATATTTATTTTGTCCCGATATTCTTGATTTTTGTAAGTCTCCAGAACATCCAATTTTCTACGAATACAAATGCAGACTTTAAAATAATCGATTTGAAGAATCAAAAATTTAGATTTTTGGTCAAACTTTTTTTTTATTTTAACTATCGGGTGCGTCAAAAAACTCGGACAAAGTTATTGCGTCATAGAATAAAAAACAATTTCTTTGTGTGTTTCTTTAATTGTTAATATTTTGTTATATATATCTC